TTTTTTATTCTGAAATGATTTTGGATGTTTGGGTCGACAATCAACCTCTATAGTAGTTTAGCTTTTACTGGGTATCTGGTTTCTTTTTACTCTGATATCTTTTCATTGCAATTGTACTAAAGATGTCAACTTTCATTTTGCAGAAATATATTTTTGTTTCACTTGCTTTGCCACTGATTTTGTTTATTTGTTTTTTGGTACGTATTTTGAACATGCTACTTTACAGTTTGGGAGGTTGTACTTAGACCACCGTACTGGGTTGGCACCTGAAGAAGAAGATATTGTGAAATCACTGTTCTTGCATGGAATAATGTTACAAAAGATGTCAACTTTCGTTTTGCAAAAAGAAATGAAATTGGTAAAGTCATGTCCCTCAATCCTCATCTTGATTCCTGAATTGGTTGTTTAACTTTTCTTTGTCGCTGATTTTGTTTGTTTTTTGGTAAGTATTTTGATAGATCAACTATTTGTGTAAATATAAGTGCTGATGAAAAATGTGACTTTACTTCACATAATGTGGATAGGAATGTATTAGAAAAACCAAAAAGTAACCGGTTTGATTCTGAGGAGAGAAGAAAATTGATCGATGCCCAGAAGAATATCAATCTTCTTTTGAAGCCTGGGATATAAAAACTATGTGGAGTCCTTGAACTCTTTGTATGAATTTGATTTACCTGCTAACAATATTTTATTTTCAATTTTGTTCTTATGTGCTGACTTAACTCAATATTCCATGAATACATCATAGTAAGAGACAGTTCACTATTTTAATGATATCTTGATTGATGTTACTATTATGCAGGATCTTGTCAAGGCTATGGTCAAAAAGCTTCATGAATACATACTGAATAATCACCATTTAAATACAGAACCAGCAACAACTTTGCAGGCATTACAGATAGCTCTGGTTAGAATTCATTTCCCTTTCCATGCACTTATGTTTCAGTACCTTCTTTTGGTGTGTTCTTAAGGAAATGGATTTGTCACATGCTAAATTGTAAAGTTCTTAGATGCATGGTTTCTTTTTATGTTTGCCTGCAACACTCATATTTCTTTTTTACTCTGAAATGATTTTGGATGTTTTGGTCGACAATCAACCTCTATAGTAGTTTGGCTTTTACTGGGTATCTAGTTTCTTTTTACTCGGATATCTTTTCATTGCAATGGTATTAAAGATGTCAACTTTCATTTTGCTGAAATATATTGTTATTGATTCTTGAATATTTTTTGTTTCACATGCTTTGTTACTGATTTTATTTATTTGTTTTCTGATAAGTATTTTGAGCATGCTGCATGACAGTTTAGGGGGTTGTACTTAGACCACCGTACTGGGTTGGCGCCTGAAGAAGAAGATAATGTGAAATCACTGTTCTTGCATGGAAATATGATACGAAAGATGTCAACTTTCATTTTGCAGAAAGAAATAAAATTGGTAAACTCATGTCCCTAAATCCTCCTCTTGATTCCTGAACTGTTTGTTTCACTTTGCTTTGTCACTGATGTTTGTTTGTTTTTTTTTTTTTTTTTTGTAAGTATTTTGAGCCTGCTACAGGACAGTTTGTGTGGTTGTACTTAGACCACCGTACTGGGTTGGAGGGTGAATCAGAGCAAGATGAAAGTACAGATGTAAAAGGGGTTCCTGAGGACATGGATTTGAGTGACAATGGAGATGGAGGAGAGGATAATATTGTGGATGAAGGAGGTGATGATACTGAGGATGAAGGCTCAGGTGGTGATGAATTTGGTTTAAATGGTGGAGGTGATGGAGGTGATTCCTCCTCTGATGGTGGTCCTATGTCACTACCGATCATGCTGGTAGTAACATCGCCTCCAAGAAAGGATCGGATAGGATTTGTCCGTAATTACTTTGACTGTGGCAGTGTACATGCCCTAGAACTGAGGGTGAAGGGTTCCTTAGAAGAGAGTTGAACAGAGATAACTACCGCATTAGCTACTTTACACACAGGCCAACTGATGATGGAATAGAAGTAGACATAAGTGGAATGACGTGGGGTGAGGTCATAGAGTCGGAGTTGCAAGGTGCTTTTGCCCACGACGATCTAGACCCCGGACATGATGATGCAGGAGCTTCTTGTAGCAGGCCCAAGAGGAAGCGCCAACAGCCAACTTATCTCAAGGATTATTACACCAACTAGTTTCTTAGTTACTGTTTTGGAGCAAAGGATGCTTTATAATACGGTGATTGAATGCTTTATCATACAACGATGCATTTTGGAGCAAAGGATGCTTTATACTATGGTGATTGATGCGTTGTAATACAATGATGCTTTTTAATTACTATATTAATCAAAATTGTCCTTCTGATCACTTCTAAGGTTATGGTATTCTTTCCGTTCAATAATTCTATGCACAACTAAAGTGCCTTGTAATTTTGCAGCTCTTGTAGTTGTTGTAGCCTGTGATTATTTTTTCTCCAAGATTAATCTTCACCATGTTCTGCCATGGGTAAGCATTGATGTTGGCACCAAAGTCATGACAAACCATGACTGAACTTGGTAACGGCCAAAAGCAAAGGGTGTAAACCAGAGACCTTGAATTAGTTGGTATCCTTTAACTTGTTGGCTTTGTGATACAACTAAAGGTTAGCATATGTTACCAATTTGATCATCTTTGCCTATCTGTAAAGTTAATATTACCAATTTGTTTTTGCTTTCTTCATGGCTGTATACCAATTTGGTCAGTTTGATTGGAAAAGGAAAGGCGGAGTTGGGTTTGAAATCTTAATTTATTGTTGGTTGATTTACTAAATAGCTTGTATGAAGAGATGGCTCGGCTTAGATTTTGTGATTAGTTAATACCATGGCAATGGTTTTGGTTTTGGTTGGATTGAAAGTAAACGCAAACATGAGAGGATCTTTAGGAAAATCTATATATAATTGAACAAGAGACAATATATGAGAAGAAGGGATCTTTAATTAGATTAACAGTAATATTGGCTATGATGGAGAAAAAAGGACATACAATATATGTGGAATGCTCTGTTGTTCCAAAATAGTGTGCACAAAGTTTATGCGCAGTTGAGAATTACAATCAAGTGTGAAATCTGCATAAGTACCGATCTTCATTATATTTCGACGAATAATGGAACATCCATACCAACAAATTAAGATGCACAAACTCATGTGGAGGAGAAAAGAAGCACCCCCATTATCCAGCGATCAAACTAAGGCATTGGCACCAGAAACAATCTCCAATATCTCCCCTGTGATTTTGGCCTGGCGCTGCCTGTTGTAGACCCTGGACAAGTTCTTCTTCAACTCCACTGCATTATCAGTTGCATTGCTCATAGCACTCATCCTAGCAGCAAGCTCACTGGCTAGTGACTCCTGCAATGCCCTCAAAATCTGACTGTTGAGGTACAAAGGCAGCAAAGCATCAAGAATCTGAACTGGATCCTGCTCGAATTGCAAAACCGGTGTGAAATCCACGGTTGTTGTCCTCACCACATCTCTCTCTACAGTCAACTTCCCTTCCTTTGTTGTCAACCTGAAGAACTCATCATCAGCAGCATCCACACACACACCATTAATATCACAAATCTCCCCTTTTGGTGAGAGTGGAAGCAAGGTATGAATCACAGGGTCAGACTTAACCAACGACACAAATTTGGTGTACAAAAGCTCAACTTTGTCAACTTCTTCACTCACAAAGAGGGAGAACACATCATCTGCGATGGCCTGTGCTTCTTTGGCAGTTGGGAGGTTGGTTCCCTCAAGAAACTTATCAACTGGAATGTAAGGCCGCCTTAGAAAATAAGAGTTACCCTTTTTGCCAACGCTGATGATCGTGTATTCGAGACCAAGAGCCTTCAATTCAGATATTCTTCTCTCAGCTTTCTTGATAATTGCATTGTTGAAACCTCCACAAAGACCACGATCGCCGGTTATGACAACAAGAGCAACTTTCTTGACAGGCCTAACATTGGTCAGGGGAGCATCTATGTCTTCCACTTGGAGCTGCTCATTGATGTTGTAAAGAACTTCCACAAGAGTTTCCGAGAAGGGTCTTCCATTAACGACAGCTTCTTGAGCTCTGCGGACTTTGGCAGCTGCCACAAGCTTCATAGCCTCAGTGATCTTCTGGGTGTTCTTTACAGAATCAATACGTTCTCGAAGCTCACGGAGACCGCAGTGAATCGGGGACACAGAAGACGATCTTGAGGGGCTGGCAGGGAGAGAGTTTTGTGAAGGAAGCTGAAAAGGGCTGATAAAAGAACGGCAGGAGAGCGAGGAGGTGTCAGAAAGGGCAGGTTTTGAAGACACCCACATTGTCAAATTTGAACAAGACATGGTTTTAATGGGGCTTCTGAAGCTCTGAAATGGAGGGAAGAGAAGCTGCTGAGGAGGAACAGAGAAGAGGGTCTGATATGCGAGTTTTGGTTTCTTTTAGGTTGTTTTTTGGGTTTGTCAAGTCTTATCTTCATGTGAGTACTTCTGGTGTATGGAGGCAAAGAGTGGGAATGAGTGGAGGGAGGAAGAGGAATTGGATGAGGTTTTGGGATAAGGATTTTGACCGTTGGTGATCGCCGGGGGCTGGCATTTGGTTCTCATTTTATCATTAATTCATGGGTAGGTCCTATCTTACGTGGCATGATCTGAGTGGGATGATACTTGGACGGTATATGCGGCTAAACGGTGGAGATTCCCTCTGTGTAAAACTCCAGTTCAGTTAAGAAAGGGCCAACGTAAAATTTTCTTTTCTTTTTCTTTTTCTTTTTATCGAATAATTGAGAGCCGCAACCACAAGCTCACACAAGCAAGTTAGCAACGCATCATTGCCAAAGTTGCCAATTTGAGAAAAATATCAATTTAACCCAGTGAAAGATGCGCATCAGTTGAATTGATGTAAAAAAGTTTCAACAGAAACACACACAAACGTTGAGTTGTGGGCACCACTGGCTTAAAGGGTTGAGGTTCAAGAAGTAACATATTATTTATTTACTGCAACTAGAAAGGGGTTAGTATAAGCGCATAAACAAATTAGTAAGTTTTGTGTTAGCCATCACTGCTGGAGTTTGAGTTTTCTACAGTCAAACCTATGTTCAAACATGTATTGGTTCTGCACACACGCTTCCTAGGTTTCCTTATTGTGGGATTTGCTAGAGGACCCAGGCTCAGTTGGTGCGCCATGTCCACGCCTTGTCTCTGTGCCACAACTTCTCTTGTGCTGAGTTTCGCATTCTTACAAGACCGAGCGGGACGAGATGACGATAGATCATTGGCAGCAAGACCACTGTCATTTGTGCTTTCGTCATGCTTGGACATCATGTGTGAAGGGCGATCGGGTGCACATGAATCCAAACTTAACCATGAAGAATTACTGGCATCATCCAAGGAAGGAGTATCGCGAATACTGTCCTGAGTATGACAGCCGGCTTTTGGCTCACACTGTTTGCCATCAGGATCTACCGTTGCAGGTCTTTTTGTTGAAAACGTTGGAACATCCTATAAACAAGAAAATAGAAATTCAAAGAAAAGGAACAAAATGATATAGATATAAACATTGAGAAAATATTAATAAAAAACTCCTCCCAAACAAGATTGGTGGCACCAACAACAAGAAGAGTGGGAGGTCGCAAGAAGAATTAGTCAGCTAATAACTTAGACCAGAAGATACAATCCGTGCTTCCCACAGCCAATAGAACCTGAGAACTAACCAAATAAAAGAGAAAAGTCACCTTATTCTGCATCTCAGCAATTCCTTCACACGCCGATCCCACCTCTCCTTCAGAATCAGTCATCTCTTCACACTCAAACTCAACATTTTCTTCATTTTCTTCATCTGAGTCACTCAACTCTTCCTGTTCCATCTCAATATCAGGTTGAGACTGCTCACCTGTATCATCTGCATTGTATCTGCTGAGATTATTACTTGGTATAACCAATGTAAGGCCACCTGAAACAGGCTCGCTACCACTTCCGGAAGAATTTTCAGCATGCCGATACAATGAACTATTAGCACATTGAGTTATCATAATAGTTCCAGAATCTGGAGCAGTTGTTCTTGATTTAACTGAATTATGCACAGCAACGTCTCTCCTTTTCAAAGTCTTTTCCTTGTCGGATGTAGAACTGAGGTGGATCTCCAAGTCCAGCTCATTAGCTTTCTCATTAGTACCCAAAGCCTGTGGATCAGTATTGCCCGGCAATGGAGTCTGACTAGTATTAGAAAGGGGTGCAGTTGAGCATGTCGTTACTGGGACACTACTTACATAATCAGTTCTTTGCATAAGTGGATGAAAATCAATGGCACGTGATGTTGAGTTGGATGTCTTCAATGATTTGTCAAAACAATCAACATGGCTTCCTTGATGAGGATTATGAAAAAGGCTTAAATTTAGCTGAGGCTGATTTGCTGAAAGAAAACTGAAAGTACTGGAATTTCTGTTGCTGCAGTTCAATGGGTAATAGGGTAGGCGTCCATCTTCAGGGGCCTGGAACAGCAAAGGATGCATATGAAGGTCAGAATCAGTATCTCTTCCTTCCTCTGCACATTTATCCTTGACAATCCTAGAATCTTCCATACGCAAAGTTGTAACACTGTCTTTTGGAGAATGAGTTTTATCCTGTCTAGATGTTATGGCATCAGAAATCCCCAACCTTCCAACTTGAGAAAATTTAGAAAACAGATTGTCTGTTGCAGAAGAACCACTACCACCTCCAGAAGCAGAAACCGTAGAAGATATCCCACATAAAGAGCCTCTGAAGGCAGATTGTGAGACTATACGAACAGATGGTGGAAGATTCACAGGAGGCAATTCTGGTGCTAACTTAACTAATTGTGCACCATTAGTTCTACGAGCTCGATACCGCCGATAATTGAATTGAGATTTGTAGGCATTTGAAGTCATATGAGAAACAGAGTGATTCGTTTGTGTGGTACCAGATGCAAAATGTCTAAAACCAGTGATTAGAGATGGGCTCTGCTGATACTTTGACACAGTCTGGGTTCGAGGAGCTTCCTTATGCCCAAAAACATTTGCCCATTCACGGATAGCTTCTTGGGATAGGGTACCACTATGAAGATTTCTTTCTCCACTGGAAGTACCTGGTCTCCAATCTGCTAAAAAGGCCTCATGAACATAAGTTTCACCTGCATTGTCTGTGCAACCATCTGCGCTGTTCTCTCCACCAGACTTTTCAGCCAGGCAGTCCTGCAGTCATTACCACAGTTAAATATAATCATCATCCACTTAATGAGCTTTCAATCATCTACAACCCAAGCTCAGCTGAATTAGAGGTTTGAGGGAAAAGAAAAAGGGTCCAAATGAAATTCTGATACAATTCTGAAAAATGAGTAAAGTCAGAATGGGCGCACACTTCCTGCACATTCATGCTAAACTGGCTAACTTAAAGACTCTTTGATGCATTTGAATGTAACTATTAGAATCAAATGGTATAATAGGCCATGTAAGTGGGGATAGCCTTCTTTTAACTAAATTGTTTTCTTTCACAGGCTGAACCCAGGACCTCCTATTTCTTACATTTTTTAATTTATTTTTAATTCCTAAACTTCAGAAAATTCTACACAAGCTATACTCCTAAGCCTCAATATATTCATCAACCTTTAGGAAGCATATAATATAATTAGCTAAAATTAAGTCTAGCAAGGCAGCTAATTTAAAGCCTACCCATAACTTTTCTAATATAATATTTGATCTCGTCTATGAGTGTTAATATGGGCAGTTCAGCAGTCAACACAGCATTTCATTTTTTATATTTATTATAAAAAGATTACTTAAAAATTAATGCAAATAAATATGGGATTTTGTCCAATGTTTTAGGTTGAAAGGAAATCAGACCTCTTTCTCAGATGAATTTTGCCAACTTGACAAATCTGCATTTTTATGCTTCCTTCTTTTTGATTCATATAACCGTCTCTTCTCCTTTTTTGCTTCATCAAGCTTATATGACTTCTGAGTTCCAAGAGCAATGCGCCACTGCCGGGGCAGCAAGTTTGGATCTCTATGTGGGACAATGAATTGCCATATGGACATCCAATCATATTTATAAGCCTTAAGTCCCTGAGTATTGGGGTCATAATAAATCAGACAGCTTGATTGCATGAGAATCTGATACATAAAACATGAATGCACCAATACATACTATATACATAAACATGTATATATCCAGATGCAGTGTGTGAGATGCATCTAAATGCATGTTAGCTGTCAATTCTTATCTAACTGAGAATTGGTACCTTATTTGAGAAAAAGTCAACACACACACACACACACACACACACACACACACACACACACAAAAGAGTAATGCTTTCAAAGCTTATATATACATATATGTATGTATAATATTTATAGGTTTCGGATAAAATTACCTCCTGAATACATGCTAACTCTTCTGCAGTCAAAGGCGAGTTTTTCATCCTCCGAACTGCCTGGATGAAGAAATAGACAACTACATGAGTTGCTGAGATAAAAGACAGGGTATTGTCCAACTACCCTAACAATATTTGACTTTTCATGCCTTCGCATGAATTAAACTCCAATAAATGACAATAGTAACCTTCTCATAATGGTGCTCATTTACTTTTTATAGAAAAATGTAGGAGGTGAAAGCACAAATCATCTCATTCCACCAATAATGCCTGTGTACCAAACAGCAATACTAATAATTTAATAAAGAAATATTTCAATTAATAAGTTCATCACATACCTTTATGGGATTTTCTGGTGCTTTTGATGAGCAGCGGTTTTTCTGCCTAACAAAAATCTGTAAAATAAGAAGTTCATGTCAAATAAAATAGGCCACCATTGCTTCTAATTTTATGACATTCACTGTACTTAACCATCAAGCAGACACTGAACTGAGTCCACAATAAGAAAGTAGTTAATTCTTAATTGAATAGCAACTGGCAGTTCTGAGATCAAAAACTTGAGCATTTTTTACTTCAATCTTCTCGGATAAAACATGTGGTTGCTCTATTGCTGAGCAAAACAAACATGAGCAAGCTGAAGTTCTGGTTCAAGCATAAATTACTACAAAATTATGTGGTTGCATTACATTACAAAGTAGTGGGGCTTTATTGAATACAAATGTTCCATACAAGTAATGATGCTTTGACTAGAATGTTCTCTGTACTAAAACATATGGCTCGTCTGCTGATTAGAAGAGCATGAATAATGAAAGACTTAGCAGCAAAGACAATAATCAGAAAATTTTGTGCTCACAATACATAGTCTAGAAAAGAATACCTGGCGCTCAGATTTGCAAGGAAGAAAACGTTGTTGAATTGCCTTCCAATCCATATTATATTCCATCAACCCCAATGCTAATAATCTGCATAGCAATTCCAAAATAAAACACATGAACCTCCATAAGAAAGTCTATACAACAACAATAAAGGAATACTGCAGATTGATACTAAACATGATATCTAAATTCCGACAGCAGCAACAAATCAGGATAAGCCACCAACTTAAGAATAAAGGAGAAAGCGTGCAACTCACTCGTCTTCTGCATCAGTGAAAAGCACTCGATTTGCCATGTTCCCAGCCGGTGGCTTATGGGGAAATAATGCTGGATTGAACAAAGGAAAAAATATCTGGGCTAACTTTGATATTTCCCTTGGGACTATAGCAACCGATTGCTTCTTGGTACTTTCAACAATGGTCGCAGCCAGTGACTTCTTGGGTGGTTGTTGACTAGACGAAGATGGAGCAACATTGGAAACTGAGGAACCGGTTCCACTTACAGCTTCAAAATTGGCTTGAGCACATAATGGAAAGTTAGGAAGGGGAAACAAAGGCTCTTTTTCAAGGCGTGTATCAGAACTAGTTTCCACGTAACACCGTCGATTTTCCTGAATAGCTGTCAAAACAATTAAAATCAATGGCAGATAGATAAAGATCAAACTTCTCGACACAAATGTGCTAGCAAAAGCATGAAAAACACTTGAGACCTTCATGGTATACCTGTATCAACTTCATCCATGTATCTTCCAACTAAACTAAGTGGAGCTACATCCAAGATAGATAGCACAGGACCACTTATAGAAGGCACCCAGAAAGCACCCCCCATATTCTGAGAGAACCCCACCTGTCCATTAGGAATGCATTCACGTCTACCTTTGGAAGGAGAAATATTTGGGGAAACTGCCATCTGATTATTCGAAGAAAAACATTCTCTACGTGCATCATATGTGAGGGATG